AATTATGATTTCATGAATCGTGAATGTGGTTTACTTATCTATTTGATTGATAACATGTTTATGTATGTTGATTGAGGGTCGACACTTAGTTTGCATGCATGAATTTGATGCTAGAGTATAAGGGAATTTCACCTAATCGTTATTAACTTATATTCATAAGTAGTAAAAGTCGCTAGTCACGATTGTGTTAAGTAAATCCTAGGCAAGAGTAACATGCGTATCCCATAGTTATGAATGCCTCGTCAATGCTTATGATTTCCATTGAACTTAATGATCTTTGATATGTGTCTCTATCATGCGTATTCCATAGTTAGGGTCCTTGATAAGAATAATTTGGTTGTAATGCGTATCCCATTCAATTCAATGAATCTAGGGAAATCTGAGAGTTAATTGGTCAATCTAGTTAATTTGGGGCATTGTCATTCATGGTTCGTTGAAAGAATAATTGGAGATCGAGTCGTATGCATATGTTTCATGTGTGGAGAAGGAACCTTCTAACTAGCTTTTCCCCATTCTATTTCATCAAAATCGTTTTCATTAAAGTTTGTTCTTAAAGGTTTTGTTTTAAAAGTTAAATTCGTCCAAAATCAATCCCCATTTACTTAGTTGAGTCATAGTAGTTAGAAATCACGTTAGTTTATGTTTTTAAGTGTCTTAGGTCAAGATAAAACCAATTTTCGTCCAAGATTGAGTCTAGTGTTCAAAACTGCCCAGATTATGGTTTTAAGGCAGTTTTGAGTGTTTTTAGGCTGTTTTGAGTCTTTTGGTTTGTTTTGGTGTTTTAAAGTTTAGTTTTGCATTCTTTGAGTTTAGTTTAGTGTTTTAAACTTGTTTTTACGTATTTGAGTCAGTTTTCAAGTGATTTTGCAATCCCTCCTAATCCCCGGTTTAGAACGATCCCTACTTACATATTTTGCTACAATTGATAAAAAGAGGGTTAATTTGAGTGTCAACATAATTTTCACATCACCACACCACATTGAACTTTAGCGATATGAACCATCTATTTTTCAAGTTCCACCTCATAGATCATTATTGCAAAATATTAGCCAAATAAAAAAATATTAGAGGCATCAAATTGAGTTCAAAGAAATAGATGAACACTTTGTTCATAGAAAAACATTGAAATTTCATTGTGATAATTGAATAGGCAAATGATTTTGAACTGAATTGAATTTTTGTAAGGATGATTTATGAATCGAGACTTACAAAATAGAAGGTTCGAATAGATAAAGTTCGATGCGGAGTGGGCCACAATTATCTCTCTCTCTCTCTCTCTCTCTCTCTCTCTCTCTCTCTCTCTCTTTCTCTCTCTCTCTCTCTCTCTCTCTCTCTCTCTATATATATAATATTGTGTTTGGAAGATGGATGAAACATGAATATCTCATTGTCGATCAAATTTGAGAGGTTCACTAGCCCTAAAAAGTTTCAAGCCTAAAATCCCATATATGCCACTACCCTTCCCTTTTGGCCGACAAAGATAAAAACCTAAGTCCTTTAATTCAAAATCTACTTTTCCCTACAAACGTATGATACGAGGACTGACGAATAAAATGAAAGCTCCATGCATGCATGCCTTTGTTAATTCAAAACTGAATGTCGATTCCCATCGGAAATCATCATATCCATTCTACAGAGCTCTCTCGATCGATCGGTTGGCAAATTTCATAGATTCTTGTTTTCAGGAAAGCGATGTGGATTGTGGGGAGAGTCCAGCCTTGCACTGCACTGCACTAGTACGCTTACCATCTTTGTGCGACAAATGTCATGCAATCTAACGATTGAATGCAATGTTTCAACACTACTATATATATATATATATATATATATATATATATATATATATATATATATATATATATAAAGAGAGAGAGAGAGAGAGAGAGAGAGAGAGAGAGAGAGAGTGTGTGTGTGTTTACTTATACTCCAAGTATCCAAAGGAACAGCGTGGACAAAAGTAAAAGGCTTAAAACTTTTTCATACCTTTTTTTCTTCTATCTTTATTCTCACCAAGAAGAAAAGGAGAAAAGGTTCCATTGTTAGCTAGGGCATTAAGATGATTAATTGGAATAATATATAGAAAAACAACCCACGATGATATTGCATATTATCGAAACATGAATATTTGAAAATATTTTTTCGGTGTGGCTGTTAGATCGTCATGTAATGTAATAATTTATGTGTTCTAGTATTTGTGGATGGTAAATTTATATTTTAGAGTATAATATCTAAAAAAACTTGTGTGTGCAGTGTTTTTCTATTACAAGATATATTACTACTCTAATTTAAAAGGAGGAGAAAAGTTTGAATTCAGAGTGGAATAAGTAGAAGAGAAAGCCCTACTCACCAGGCAATGCACCACTTGTGTGTTGAGGGCAATGTTAAATTTCACTGAACAATCGTAGCAGTTAGGAGACTTTGCTCTTTAATCCACTACCTCCTGAATTCAAACCATCAGTCTTCTCCCTAGTTTAATTAAAAATAGTAAATCCCTTTCTGTATTTAAACAAAAAATTCACTCTAATGCTTTTCATTTTCCAAATTTATGTAGACAAATCCAATCTATTGTTATTTTCTAGTACTAATAATATTATTATTATAGTCTTTTTTAATTAAAAATAGTAATATCCGTCTTTGTATTTAAACAAAAAATTCACTCTAATGCTTTTCATTTTCCAATTTTATATAGACAAATCCAACCTATTGTTATTTTCTAGTAATAATAATATTATTATTATAGTCCTTTTTTTTTCTTCTTTTTTTTGTTATTGCAAACGATATTATCTATACTAAGGGGTAGATGAGTGGCTAAGCCTCACAATGAGCTACCAATAATGTGGTTCAATTACGCCTTTGGCGAGAATCGAACTTAAGACCTCTCACTTACAAGTGAAAAGGAATACAAATAGACCGTAGTACTAAATAGCTATTATTATTATTATAGCCTTGATTGAGAGATAACTATAAATTCATATATATATATATATATATACACACACACACACATATATATATGATATAGTTCATTTTTATTTGTATTCGACTGATTAGTTATGGGCTAGTTGCATGATATAAAGCGAGCATATAAACTTTGTTGGAGGCCCACGCGATGCCGTGGACCATTAAACTTTGGTAATAAGGAACCAAAAGTACCAAATGATGTTAGGGTGGTAGTGGTTGGGACTCTTCATAAATGAACTTGTTCCATTCCATCGTGCCATGGTTCCATCATCCTGGAGGAGGATTCTCTACCCTTCTAATCTCTCTACCCTTTCATGCCCTCATATTTGAACGGTCACGGTTAAACCACGTCAACATCTTATATTGAATTTTTTATAAAGATAATAAGACAAAAAACAATGTGTGAGAGGAGGGGATAGAAGGGGATAGGAATATGAGGGTAGAGAATCCTCCTCCATCGGCTACACCCCATGTGAAATTTGAAAAGGGATACAAGATTTCCTCACTTTTTTTCTATATTCCTATTCATCATAAAGTTGATTATTTAGTTATTAGATTACATCACATATTACTAATTGGTTTTTCTGTGGAACCTCATCTTCTCTCATGATATCAAAGTTGGGTTGTCATGCAAGTGAAGCCTCCAATTTTTCCAATTTATATTATCCACGTGTTAAGCTTGAAATTTCACTACAAGTAAGGATTTGAAAAGGCTAGATAACAAGCCTAAATTACAGAAAGCGAGGACGATAGGAAAAGGGACAAAAACTAAAATAATTCAAACATAGACACAATAATAAACTCGAAGAAAGCTTATTAAAATGAAAACTGAATGACAAGCTAAAACTATGAATTTGTTGGTGTATGTTGGCTCGATACAAGTCAAGAATGATTTGAAGAGTAGTCTAACATTGGAAGATAATATAAGGTTTTAATTTAGGTGGTCAATTTTGATTGCATTGAGGCCTTATCCCAGAAGGAAAGAATGACTATAATCGCGAATGTTCTACTCAAAAAAGCAAGACAACGATTTTTGTTGGTATACTTTATCGATGGTTTTTTTTTTTTTTTTTTGGACACACACACATATATACAAGAGCACTCAAGCGCTATCAATCAATAATTTAATACAGTGATAACCAAGCGTTTGGGCCAACTCCACAATATTTTTCCTATGACTCAAGCTTGTTAGCATAGTACTAAGTGGTAGTTAGATTGAGTTTTAGATTACTCATTATTCTAGCTATTCTTTCCTATTAGATTTTGTATTTACTTGGATGACAATCACAATCCCTAAGCATTCTACAATTTCTCTACACTTATCTTTGTCCACACACACACACACACACACACACTCTATCTCTCTCTCTCTCTCTCTCTCTCTTTAGGAAAGATTGGGCAATCGCGCCGCTAGCCCTTGCGAAGGCTTGGGCTGGTGGTAGGGGTGGGTTCAGTTTAAATCGGTTCGGTTTTTTGCCAAAATCGAAACCAAACCGAAATTTCGGTTCGGTTCATTTTTTTTCGGTTTTTTTCAGTTGGGTTTTTTTTTTGGTTCGGCTTTTTCCAGTTCGGTTTCAGTTTTTTTTTTTTTTTTTTTTTTCAAAAAATGAAAAACATTGAAATTTTAAATTTTAACATATTCAACACAATCATAACATAAGCATTCTAACTAGAATCAAAGACAATGAAAATAAACATTTAAAGTTGAACTAAAATCATCAATCAAGTCTTCCAAAGTCCAAACTAACAACCTCACAACACAAAAATCGTACAAATGAATTAGAAAAGTTAAATTGTATGATGTTGTTCGCACTGTATTTCACTTTTCCCGCTTTGTCACCATCAAATATCATCCCGCGTTTATGATTCCGTTACTTCCGAAATTAAACCCGCAAAAGATTTCGAGAATTTAAGACGGAGACTTGGACAGGGAGATACAGTCTACAGAGAGCCGGCCGCTTTACCTAATTAATTAATGATAATATTTTTTTTAAATCAAAAAAATATTAATTAATGTTTCCAATACGATGCTCTTTTTTGTGACCTCCGATTCACCCTCACTCTCCCTCTCTTCAAACAAACAAAACGACGCCAACGCCTACAGGAGGGAGGCAGGGAGGGAGAGAGAGAGAGAGAGAGAGAGCAGGAGAGAGAGCTTCGTAATTGACTCTGCGATGGAATCAGACTCCCAGATCTTCGAGAAACCCTAGCATTCCCTTCAAGATTCTCTCCCATTCCTCCAAGAACCACTTCTTACACTCTCTCTATCTCTCCCCTATCGCCGCCTCCATCTCCGTCCCTCTTTCGCTCGTCTTCTTCTTCACTTCTGCTTCCGATCGAGCTCATTCGTCTTCGTCGGCAGAGAACCAGAAGCTCCGGTCCTTATTCTTCCAGTTTAGCACAATTTCGGCGGCTCAGTGCCGGTTCGCGCTGCATTTCCGGTTCGCTCAATGTTCCGGCGAGACCGAGAGAGAGAAAATTCCTAGGACCTCTGACGATTGATCTAATTGCGGATTTTGGATTGAGGTTATGGTGTACTAGATGAGTACCATTGACGATAGAGGAGGAGGCTCATTCGTCGCCGTTCGGAGGATTTCTCAAGGTCTCGACCGCGGCGGCAACACCTGCCAATCAACTTCTGGTAGTCCACTTCTTTCCTCTCTTCTATTTTTCTTCGCTTTTTGTTTTTCTATTTATTTTTGCTTTCCTACTCTCTCTATATCTCTCTCTAGAACTTTATCTCCTTCAGCATTTCTCCGTTTTTATAAATATTTTTGGGAGCTTAGATCTGCTATTTGAGATTGATTGAGCTCCTCGTAGTATTGTTGAATTTGTCACTAATTTGATGTTCTCCAGAATCATAGATTGCTTTGGTGCCTGGGTCAATTGGATTTTTATTATATGCAAATTTTGTTTCGATCCGAAACTTTGATTCGTCACATTCTGAGTTCCGAATATGTGGCTTATTTGATTTCACTGTAATTTTCAACAATTGGTGTATTTGGAGCTTTCTAGCTGACATGATAGGAAAATGTATGCAAAAATTGAAGAAAGGAGCTACATGTTCATGTTATATGTAACTTTAATTCTTTAAGCTTCCTTTACTCTGGAGTGTGGGGGCTCCAATTATATTTCACATTATTTATTATCTTAACAGTACCATCTTGAATTTTAACTACGTTGCCTAGTTTATCGGAATTGCAGCGGTTTAGCTGCTCCATTATGCACAGTCTATGGTGGTGGCTTGAATGAAACACTTACAGATATTAACATCCGTCATCTTCTAGAAACCTTACAAACAATTGTCGGTCGCTGCACGCTGTTCTTATAGTACATGCAGCTTTTATGTAATCATTTTGCAGTACATACAGCTTCCCTTTGAGGGTTCGGAAACTCTCTTCTTAATCGTTGGGTGTTTGGTTTTGTACAGCTGAAGTTGTAGCAGGATCAACAGCATGGCTCGGCCGGGGTCTTTCTTGTGTGTGTGCACAGAGAAGAGAGAGTGATGCTCGTCCCTCCTTTGATTTAACCACTGTCCAGGTAATATGCTTGCAATTGTATGAACTGTGTTTATCCATTATATGTGCCAGTATTGGATTAGGTCCTTACCTTTCATACATCCCATTTATTTATCGCACATGGACTTGTTATGCATAGAGCTGAATTATAAATTTAACACCTCTAGATTTCTGTGTTTATTTTTCTTGGGAGGAATGTATTGATTATGTTTGCCTTGATTTTGTCAGGAGGAATGCCTGATTAGGCTACAGAGCCGTATAGATGTTTCCTACGACAGTTCAATTCCTGAGCATCAGGTATATATTAATTCACTGAGTCCATTATACTACAGTAAGCCTAATTATATTTGGGGAGGATTTGCATGAATTTTTCATTTTTTATTTGTGCGCATAGTTCATCAACATAGTTAGATCTACTTCTCTGGTTTACTCTAGGAAGCTTTGAGGGCCTTGTGGAATGCTTCCTTTCCTGAAGAAGAACTTCGTGGTTTAATATCTGATCAATGGAAGGAAATGGGTTGGCAAGGGAAAGATCCATCTACAGATTTCAGGTAATTCTAACATCTTCATTGTCATTTGGACACTTCATTTGTTGCTAGCTCTTTTGTTTCTCTTTCTACTACTTTATTTTGTTACTAATTGTTGACTGTTGAATTTTCTGCAGGGGTGGTGGTTTTATTTCATTGGAGAATTTGTTGTACTTTGCTAGGACTTTCCCGGTATGATCTCTTGCTCCTCTCCCTCTCCCTTTCTCTCTTTGGCATACACATTTATGTACACGATACAGTTTTCACCTGTCAGATGTGGTTAACCTATTGGTCATGCTGACCATTTGGTGAAGTAATGTGATCAACAGCATTGAAAACTGCCACATCTTAGACTTGACATATGTGAAAGCATATGTGTATGTTATCTTGAAATCACAAAAGACAGAAGTCAAAATACTTGAATACAAGTTCTGGTCATAGGTTTTATTTTTGCTCCCAGAATTAAAGCCTCTGATTTTTCCAACCATGCAAGTTAATATTTTCACATACCATGGCATGGACAATACATGCAGTGGCTGATAAATTCTGAAGTGTTGCTTTAAGTTAATGTGCGTCTTTATTTCCCTTGAGTTTTCTTATGTACTTCTCTGTTTATTTCTGTTGTGACAAAAAATGTTCTTATCATTTATATGCTACCACACCTTTTGCTTCGTGTATCCAGCATCATTCCTGTGTGTGTGTGAGTGTGTAGTAATATGCATCTCTATTTGGCTATTCTTGCTTGTGTGGTGCCCAATAGGGAACTGCAGTATGTCTATCTTATAAGCTACTCGTGTCTCATTGAGGGTAAATACTTTCATTGTAGAAATCTTTCCAGGATCTTCTTCGAAAGCAAGAAGGTGATAGGTCTGTGTGGGAATACCCATTTGCTGTTGCTGGTGTGAATATCACATTCATGCTCATTCAAATGCTCGATCTTGAAGCCGGTTGGTATTTGTTCTTTCTTTTTCATTCACTCATAGTTTTCACGAATATTTCCATTTTCCAACAATAGAAATCTTTTGTAATATTGGATCTTGCTGTGCTTTTCGAGTTGCAAAATCTGCTGCAATGCATTATGCTCACTCGAATATTGATTTCTTGTTCTTTTGCGTGCATTGTAGATTTGAGTTGACTTATCAATTAAAGTTTTGAGCAGTCAAATGTATTTCCTGGTACTGGTTTGTACATGGTCACTGTAAGGTCTTCCTAGAACACTAGCAATACCTATATTGAAAGTAAAGCATTAACCATATATTTTGCTCACTGAAAATGTTTTTCGTTAAATGCCACTATAAATGTGTGAAGTTTGCCCTATATATTAGTGATAGATATAATTGTAAATTCGATAATGCAAAACCTTTGAGGAATAGAAAGTATAGTGGTAGTGAATTTTGGTGTAGATAATAGCTTTTGTGTTTTTTGATGTTTTTTTGTCAGTTGACAGTGTTGTTTATGTGCAGTCAAACCACGAACAATGGTGGGAGCTACTTTCTTGAAGTTTCTAGCAGGTGATTTCAGCTTGAATGTGCTGTTTCATGTATTTTGTTCAATGTAATAATGTTTTTTTTCTTTTCATTTAACAGAAAATGAATCCGCGTTCGATCTTATCTATTGCATCACATTCAAGCTAATGGATCATCAGTGGCTTTCTATGCGTGCATCCTATATGGATTTTAATGTACGTATTTTTCAAGAAGCCCTCCCTTTATCTGCATTTGTGGCTAATCTTATGATATATTTTATAACCTTCTAGTTAACTTCAGTTTCCCAAATGCTGTGAGAATAGTTTCACACTTGTATGTGGAGGTTTGGGTCGGGGCAAAGTCTATTATGCTTCACACATTTGGGGTTTGATCGTTTGTTGTGCTGACATTTTGTCCTTGTTGTGTTGTTAACAGACAGTGATGAAGTCCACACGCCGGCAGTTGGAAAAAGAACTAGTGCTTGAAGACGTAACACGGCTGGAAGACTTGCCTTCATATAGCCTTCTTTCCCAATAGTGTAGAAGCTTGTCGTAGAGTCTATGTAATCATTGGTCACAACTAGTTACATGGTCATCGGCAGCACTGTTATTTCTAACTAGGATGATGTTTGTACTCGTGAAATTTTCTTGCAGCGAGGCGGCATGTTGTCAAAGAGGAAAGGGTTTTGGTTGTATTAGTTTGTCGAGTTAAGAGGCTGGAACAAGTCTGATGGTGATTGAGGTTTGAAATACAGAATATAGATTCGGGGTGAGAGCGGAGGAGCATCCTTGTCAGTTGTCCCACGGTCTAGGGGATGTTGAAGAATACATGGATAGATCGAGAGGTATGTTTGTTACTTGCGGTTACCTGCGTCTGGGAATGTGGAATGTAGAAAGAGATTTTTCTGTTTTGATTTCAACTTTTGAGTGGCTTTCTTTCTGGAATATTATTATTGTTTGATGACTGATAAATGATCATCGGTGGCAGGCGGAGCACTTGAAAACCCCCGCCCCGCCCTACGCCGAGGCTGGAAAAAGAGAATATTTGCAATTGCGATGCATCAACACAAAATCCATATCCCTTGTGTAATTTCGATACGTTGTGACAAAAGAAACGACTACCATATATTAATACGGCAAGACTCAACTCCTTGGTCACAAACTATTTGGATCTGGAAGTAAGCATTTGGGTTTGACGACCTAAATATGTTACCAGGTTTCGCCAAGGTGGCAGTGGTGATGATGACCGTGGCAAGGTTGTAGGGATGAAGGTAATGAAGGTGAGGTTGGTGGTACGGGTGGAGTGGTGGCTTGACAATGGTGGTAGTGGTGGTCCTGTAAAACAAGTAATTTTTGTTGGACCTTTATTCTTTTTTTTCTTTTTAGATATATTAGGATTTTTATTGGTTGGAACGTCCGATTATTTTGATAGGAATTTTATATCTTTATTTCCTTCTTAGCAAGTAATTTTTTTTTCCCCACAAGGTATCATGAGTCTTTCTATGGAATCGCAGGTTTTTTTATTAGCTCCTATTTGTGGTGCACAATTTCATGGAATGTAGGTAGTAGTGGTTATGATCGATTTGATATAAAAGAAGGCATTGTGTGTATTTTTCGTTGGGAATTTCTTGGAAAAAAATCGTCGCATATTCTTCCAACTCCTTATGAAAGACATTCAATTAATGATAACGAGTAGAGGTGGTGGCAACGGTGATAGTGGGGGTAGATAAAGTGGCAATGAGGGTTGTCATTCAAAGTAATTTTTATTTCCATAAAAATTCTCAGATTATAAAGCCCTCCATCCAAATAAGTTAATGAAACACTCAATCTGAAGCTTGTTTTGAAAGGGCACAAAGCAAGCCCAAAACTTCTTAACAAGACTAAGGTTCCAAGGAAATAGGCACTGCATTGCCACACTCATACAAGTCAAAATATGACGAAGGGCAATCGGACAAGTCCTCAGAGTGCTTCTCAGCAAAACCACGATCCACATTGATGAACTTCAAACCTGAACATATAAGCAAAGAACTTATTGAAAAGGAAGTTGTCTGATAATTGCTCAAAAGTGCATGCCTAATGCTTTGATTATACTCGTTACATGTTTTTCTCTAGTAATTTGGGAGTTTTAACAAAACACTCATGGTATTGTTCACTTTTAACGAAAAACCATATTTATACCTTTCCCTAGTACTATTCACTATACCTTTAAAAAGGGCTTTTCATTAAAAGGGAAGTTTTTTTGGACTTTTCGTTAGTTTTCCTTTTATTAAATTTGTGCTTTATCATGTATAACTGGTCAAATAGGTTTTATATCTAATTTGTTTAAATTTTAAGTTGTGTTATTTTAATTTTATTTTGCAAGACCATGAGAATGATGCAAGGCAATTAAAGGATGAGGCACAAGATAATAGAAGGTGATTAAGTCTTTGTCGGTTACTGAAAGGAAATGAAACAGAATGGAGAAGGAGATGAAAGAAAAAGGAACGGCTGAGTTATGCTTGGCAATAAGGCTTATCATTGATCATAATTCAAGGAGGATTTGAGAATATTGGCTGGGCTGCAGCTCAACCATTTCCTATTTTCCCATTAACTTTTTCTTTCATAATTTTTTTTCAGAGTTTTTCTTATTCTATTTTGTTATGTGGAGAACTAATCTCCCTAGTTAGGGCTAGGGAGGAAACCTATACTACGATTATGTAGTTTTCTTATTTCGATTCTATTTCGGAGTTTTATTGTCAATTTTACGTTGTGGATGTTCAATGACATTTATGATTTATTCTATTTTCGGATTGATGAATGTTGGTTATGAATCTATGATTCATAGGTTTAATCATGTTTTTCCTATAGTTTTGTTTCACATTCATGCTTTTAGAGAATTGAATAAATTAGTAGATTGGTACGATTTTGACCGAGTAATTTCTTAATATTTTGTTGCCGTAGGTACAAATTATATTTGTGATTATTCCTATAATCGAATAGTGAAATTGCATAATTGTATGTGGGTGGAACTCTGATGCTTTAGTGTTTTTAATTGTTGAATCCTTCTTCTATAAGTTATATCTCATTCTATATTATTTTTTATTTCAGTCTCGATAAATTCTGCATTCTTTCTCAATGCGATCTGAGGAATACGACACTTGGACTTCAAGTTTATATTGCTACGCAACACTTGCACTTGGGCTTAGCAAGCAATTTTTGGCACCGTTGCAAAGGGAGCGACCTGGCGAGGAGCGCATAATTTTTCTCCACTCGGTACACTCTTTCCATTTATTTGTATTTTTTTTTTGTTGTTGTTTGTGTTGGTTTTAGTTTTTTTGTTTTTTTTCCTTTTTTCTTAAATTTTCATGCGATATCATGATCACCGAGGCATATTTGCTAAGCGCCTAGAACCTAAAATTGAAACTTTGTTTGGAGATCTTTTTGATAGTGATAGTGAGTCTGTCAACATGGATGACCTTGAAATTATTGGAGGTGAGGAAAACCCTCCCCCAGAATATTGAAAGACTATTTGCATCCAACTCGTGTTGCATCCCTTTCATGAATTGTTTTTCCTATTGATATGCCAAAATATGAATTCAAATATGGAATGGTTCATCTTCTTCCTATTTTTCATGGTTTGGAAAATAAAGATCCTTATGTGCATGTTAGGGAATACGAGGATGCCATTAGCACTTTTTATAATATTGCACATTGGATGGAGTGAGATTAAAAATTTTCCATTATCTTTAAAAGACAAAGCAAAAAGTTGGTTGTATGCATTAAAGGCTAGGTCTATTCGTTTGTGGTCTAAAATGACTGATGATTTTTAAAAAAAAAAAATTCCGGATCATAAGACTATGGCTTTAAAGAAACAAATTTCTTCTTTTTCTCAAAAAGAGAGTGAACTGTTGTATCAAACATGGCAAAGATTTAAGAATCTCTTGAATTTGTGCCCACATCATGATTTTGAAGACTGGAGCCTTGCTAGTTTCCTTTACGAAGGCCTCCTCTCTCGAGATCGTCAATTTCTTGAGTCTATGTATAATGGGGAATCTATGTCAAAAGAACTTGATGATGCTTTAGAGTTCCTAGATCAAATTGCTAACAAAATCCATCAATCAAAAGGTCATAACCTACTTGAGAGCACTGATCGCTCTAAACCTTCCACATATTCTAGTAGTAAAGGAATTTATCAATTGAGGGAAGAAGATGACTTGAAAGTAAAATATGATAATCTTTCCAAAGAGGTAGCTGCATTAAAATTTAGAAAATCTAATATACCTTAACAAGTTTATCAATCTGATGCTGATCAAGTTTGTGATGCTTGTTGTGAGATTGGTCACTCCACTAAAAATTATCAAATGCTGCAGGAAATGAAAGGAATTCATGAAGAACGATGTATTGCCATAGGAAGCTATCAGAAGCAGTTTTCTCCTTTCTCAAAGAAATACAATCCGGCAACAAAAAACCATCCAAATTTATGTTGGATATATGACTCATACTCTAAGGAGGTAAGTGCTCCTAACCACCAATTTTCTGCTCCTAATTCGTTTTAACATAAACAATCATATGTAGATCTTGTTCAAGTGTTAGGCCAAAAGTGTGATTCATTGTTCAGTCAACTTGTTGAAAAAAACAAAATCAGGAGTCACCTTTCGAAATTAACTAACTCTACGTCCGTTAATGAAAAAGGAAGATTCACTACGAACACCCAAGCTAATCCTAAAGGTGTTAGTTCAATTGAGACTGAATTTAAGCATGCTAAGTCTGTGATTACTCTTAGGATCGGTAAAATAATTAACACAACACCTTTACCCCAGATGAGGTTGAAAAAATAAAGAGTAATGATAAACTTGACGAGCTCAAAAAAAATCTGAAAATGACAAGGAATATCATGTGCATGTACCTTTTCTGAAAGCTTTACAACCCTTAAAGAAAGCTGTCTATAACTCTGGTATTCTCGAGCATTTTAAGCAAGTAAAGATAAATATTCCTTTGTTCGATGCTATTAAACGAGTCCTCGCTTATGCTAAATTTTTGAAAGACTTATGCACTTATAAGAGAAAGCATAATGTGAAGAAAACTATGTTTTTAGCTGCCCATGTGAGTGCGGTATTGCAAATAAGATCCCACAAAAATACAAAGATCCAAGAAGTCGTACTTTGTCTTGTGTCATTGGAAATAATTTTATTGATCGTGCTTTGCTTGACTTAGGTGCTAGTGTGAATTTACAGCCTTATTTAGTGTATTTGCAGCTAGGCCTTGGTGAACTAAAGCCGATACAGGTAAAATTGCAACTAGCTGTTGGTTCTATTAAACCCGATAGGGGTTATTGAGGATGTGTTGGTCCATGTAGACAAGTTTTACTATCGCGTTGATTTTATTGTTTTGGATACTGCACCTATTTTAGACTCTGAATATCACTTTCTTGCAATTTTAGGACGTCCTTTTTTTGATACATATGATGCTAACATAAGTTGCATGAGTGGTGGTATTATGAAACTTGGTTTTGGAAATATGACAATGGAGGTAACATTTTTAATATTTTCAGGCAACCATATGGAGATGACGACTGTGAGGTTGTAAATTTTCTGCAATGCATGGCAGGTTAAGAGGAGTCGAATTGAGGATGATTTATAAAATTTTCTTTTGAATCATGATACACAAAATAATTGAAATTGCTGCTGCCTTTAATTCTTGTCAGGTACAGGAAGCGAATAGATGGAGACATAAGTTTGAGGAGCTTCCACACTATCAAAAGTCGTACCACTAGTGTGGAGGTGCCCAAATTGGAGCGAAAGCTGTTACCAGTAGGTCTTAAGCATGTATTTTTAAGGCCAGGTGACACTTTTCATGTGGTAATCTCTTCCGAACTCAACTCTTCACAAGAAGGTAAGTTAATTAAGGTTTTGACTGCCCATAAATCTGCCATTAGATACTCTTGCTGATATAAAAGGAACTAGTCCTCTTGTTCGCATTCGTAAAATGCTTTTGGAAGAGGGCGCTAAACCATCTCAGGACCCACAACGTAGGTTAAACCCTAACATGAAAGAAGTTGTCAAACAGAGGTTTTAAAATTGTGGGTTGCGAGTATCATTTACCCAATTTTTGACAGTCAGTGGGTGAGTCATACTCAAGTTGTTCCGAAAAGGTCTGGTCTAACAATAGTTAAAAATGATAAAAATGAATTGGTTCATACTAGAATCATTTCTAGTTGGCGATGTGTATTGACAACAGAAAACTTAATCTTGTGACTCGAAATGATCATTTTCCTTTGCTTTTATAGACCAGATTTTAGAGCAGGTGGCTGGGCATGCATTTTATAGACCAGATTTTAGAGCAGGTGGCTCAAAAGGATTGTGTAATTCTCCCGCTACATTTCAAAGATGCATACTTAGTATTTTTAGTGATAAGGTGGAGCAAATTCTTGAGGTTTTTATGGATGATATATCTGTGTTTGGTGATTTTTTTTATGATTGCTTGAATAACTTGGAAAATGTTTTAG